TTGTAATCTATGTTGTTTTATCCCACCTTCCCACCATCAAGTGTTTGATGGATTAGGTGACTTGCTGATGCCTAGTGTAACGCCCCAGAGCACTGGGGGCAGCACTACTGGAAGCACTGCAGGAAGCATGGGAACTCCTGTTGCAATGGGGGGTATTGCAGCCGCTCCATCCGCCACCCCTCCTGCTACCAAAACCATTGTAGGAGATCTGGACACATCGCTGGCCAACCTGGTTGGAGGTAAACTGTAGCTTTCCCTGTATGGAGCTCTATTATTTGTCTTCTTACATAGAAAGGTAACTCATTCTTCCTTCTTTTTCCTGTTCAGACCTTGGAGTAAAGAAAAAGTAAGTGTGTGAATTCTATAAAAATTAGTTAATCATTAGATTTGCAAACCCTTTCTTTCTTTTTGCTCATTTGGCCCAAAAAGACAGAGATTGAAGTGACATTAATTGCATATATCTTGACTTGTATCCTACATTTAAACTCCTTTAGGGACTCACAGAGTGAGAAGAAGCTAACAGGAGGCGCAAACTGGATGCCACAGGTAGCCCCCACAAGCTGGGCTACACCGGGAGCCCCCATGGTAAGAACAGTATTCATTCCATCAGGATCAGAATACGCTTTATATGAAAAGCAGCCTTTCTGAAAACTAAGTTTAGAAGTGTGCGTTTGTACTGCCACGGGTTTATCAGTAACTACATTTCTTTTAATCTGTACTTTCATTTAATCTGGACAGTAAAATCAGGTCACTTAGGCAGCCACTGTGCAGACACTTCCTGAACCAAGATGTGTTATTGTGACATGTTCACCTGTTTGTTCTCTTTAGACCGGTGCCACCCCTGGAGCTCCTGGGGTGCCAGGAGCAGCTCCCCCTGGTGCAGCCATGGTGCCACCAATGAGTGCACAACCTGGCTTTGGCATGGTAAGCTTAATTTAATTTATAATTAATCTTTTCTGAGGATTGTAGAGAGCTTCTAAACTAAGAAATGTTTTTTTCCTTATGCTTAACTTTGTTTAACTGACTGAATGCATATTTTTGAAAACAGACATCCAAAAACTACACCCCTTTGACCTGCTTTTCTATCTTATTGCATTTTTTGGGAATTGGGGAATTGTATCGCTCCAAGACTGATGTCCTTCCCTTGTCTTACCAGCCTCCTGCAGCAGGGCCTGGAGCTCCTGTGATGCAGCCCATGATGGGACAGTCCATGATGAGACCTCCCTTCACTGGGGTGGCCGGAGTTGCACCTGGAGCCGCTGCACCAGGAGCACCGGTAACACATCACAGTCTTTCCCTCAAAATTAGGCTGTATTTTCGCATGCTTGTTTAAGTGGGAAACTCAGGATAGCTAAATGAAATAAAGAGCTGCTATAACAGCAACTTGACCAGTCTGCTAATATGGAAACATTAGGTGAGAAGGGCTAAAGGTAGCTGGTTAGCAGGGGCTAAACTTTTAAAAACACATCGATTGGGTTGTCTGACAGTAAATTAATTGTTCCGTGATCTGTGCATATATATGTATATTTATACTGGCTTTTATGTATCAATTTAATAGTTCTGGTTTTCATATAGATCTATAGAGATATTCCTTACAAGCATTGCTTATATTATTAAGAATCATAATAAGAAAACAATTTTTTGTCCATTACAAAGCTGTGGGACTTTGTCCTAGCAAACAGCAAAACTACAACATAAAGTACAGTATATAAGCTCCAGTAAACTTCTCTGTGAACGTGCTACAAAAACGCATTAAAAAGCACATAAAAACAATGTAAAACAACATAAATGAGCTACAGTACATGTTGGGAGTCAATCTAAAAAAATGTTACTTAATTTTGAATTTAATTAGTTATATCTTCTTATCTAAAATATCTGTGGTCAATTTAAGAAGATCTGTGTGTCCTGTTTCTCCAGCTTTCTCCAGGACCTGCAAGCCAGAGCCCCAAGAAGCCCAAGGACCCATTGGCAGAACTTGACCTCAAGGACTTCTTATAACGCTCCAGGTGGGAGCTCATGAAAGAATTCTTGTTGTACGTTTGTTGGAATCATGTGACTTGGCAGTGCCACTGCAAATCTGAGTTCAGAGCTTAAAAAAGTCATCAACAAACAATAAAGCCATATACAGCATCTTCAGGGTTTTTTTTCTGCTTTTAGCTGAAGTTAAATAAATATTTTATTTCTGTGCTTTTATATCCACAAAAATAAAATGACTAAGAATGAGCTTTGGATTAAATAAAACCCAGGTGGAATTGAGCGTCTTCAGCTAGGATTAATACTAGTGTGATTAAGGTTGTAATCCTGTTTAATGGTTCATATGATGCAGAATTCAGAGCTTAATCAATGATATCAAGCTGCACGGTCCACAAAGCAACAAAACCGCATCAAACTATTACATTTCCATAGCTATGCTTCACAGTTGATATGAGGCTATTCTGGAGAAGTTTTTCCTAATTGAATTTTAATTTTATGGATTAAACATCTAATAAACTGTGTGCAACTGATCAGTTTTCTTAATTTAAAAAATGAAAGCACTTCTAAAGTTTGATTTTACATTATACTTGGTTAAATATGTCATCACTAGCTGCGGGTTTCAAAGCTGACGGTGTTGTTTAATGGTTTAGATATTTTATAGATTGCTTTGGTTGAATGTACGTAATTGAAAACACACATATACACACAGGTAGTAAACTTGATTTTAATGTTTGGTAGTTTTCAATCTGCATCTTTAATGTCAGGTATTTGGTCTTCAAAAGGATACTCATGAACTTCTTGAATATAAGAAACATGAAAATCAGCTGGTTTCAGATCATCGCTTTGCAAAACAAAAATCACAGTCAGCTTCCAGTACAGACCTTTTCATTTGCCTCCAGAACAAAATGACTTTTATATTAAAAATGCTCTCTATTTCCTGTCTTCCAGCTGCTTCCCTCTTTGGATGAGAGCCCCCTCACCTTTTTACCTGGTGTCTGTCAACATCTCAGGATGCCAGCGATGTTCAGCTATTCAACCTTATTAAGAGCCTCTTTTCTCCACCCTACTCCAGCCCAGCCCTTCTCCTGTGTGATGTTGTAGCACAAACTGTGAAAGTGAACCATAGCGGATTACATATAAATATACGAGAAAAAAATAAAAGCGTGTGCTTATGTCGATGTACCAAACTTTTGTCTAAACAAAATCACTTAAAAAAAAAAAATTAAGCGCGAGAAAGCGAAGGCGTACGTGTTCGGATTCATTTCTAGTACTAAGTCGAATGATGGATGTGCTTTGGTGTCCTGAGCTCCTCCCCTTATTTGTCTCCACCCCTTTCTTTGTCCGTACCTCCTTGTAAAGGGGGAGGGGCTCTCCTTTTGTCCCGCTCTGATTGGATGAGAGTGGGAAAAACAAACAAAGCCCCGGGAGATTTTTCTGAGAAACATGCTGTGTGTTGTTTACAGAAAGGTCCTCTTTGATGTACATAGATTTCTCCGGGCGAGGATTTCGTCTCTATTCTGTACGTGTGTTGAAGAGAAATATAAATGTGAGTCAGACATGAAGTTGTAAGAAGTGGTGTGAGTATCCTTCTATTTACCATCATCTTTCAACACTATTTGGAAGCAAATATGACTACCGCTACATGATTAATATACTGTGTATTTAGAAACCTCTTCTATGGGCTTCTGAGTCATACAAGACCAGCAAGTGATCCTTTTGTTTGTTTCTCTTGTTTTTAACTGGTGGCTTATTTTTCTACATTTCTTCTTTTGTGTTTTTGTTTTATGTTATTCATTTGTATATGTTCTCTTTGTTTTAGAATAATCCTCCATACTGATACTGATATTTGCTGGTATTGCTATTACAGGACATATCTTAAAATGTACTTCTTCAGCACATAGGTAAATTCAGACTATTCCTGTCTAACTGTCTACGTAAGTCTGCTTTTGACACTTCTCACACGGGGAATGTCTGGTGCCTGTTCTTTCTTTCAGACTTTCTCAATAGCAATGCCATACCAAACCCTGTGTTCAGCCAGCCCAAATTAATCAATCTGACATCCAGTTGATTTAAGGATTGAAATTTATATTGAGTCATTTCTAAGAACAGCAGTTAATCAACATGGTAACCTAGCAACAACTAGAAAATCCCATCACTGACTTGGGTGTGGATTAAAGGTACGTTATGGAGTTTGCATACGATATTCTGCTTGCATTCAGTATTTCACACCAAAGAAAGCTGTTTAAGTATCCCCGATCCGTTGATTATGGTTATGAATACGAAGCATTTACTTCATGTAAAGAAAAACCTTTGAAATGTACAGTGTTTACACCTCCTCATCAAAACCTTACTCCTGTTAGCAGTGGAAAACTCCACATGGTACCTTTAACTTCAGTGTTATCTAGCAGTATGCACCCACTGAGCAAACATGGCCAAGTTATAATGTGAAGAAAAAAAATCCGATCCTGCTGCTGTCTGAACACTGCGTTTGAGTTCTTCATATGATCAGTACTGACGATCGGCCAATTTTTAGTGGAACTGTATGTAATTCTGTATGTGGCCACATGAGGAACAGTGTGTAGAGAAACCCACAGGAGGTCACTGTCGAACCTTCTGAACGTGTTACCCAAAGCACTTCTGTTCCTGCTTACTTACGTTGAAATGTGTATGTTTTCAGTGTTGACATATGCATATGTTTGGACATTGTTTAACACCGGTCCCCCTCTCCTGTGCTGTAAACTACAGACAGTTATCAAGCTTACTCTGTGTGTTGTCCTCTTAGTGGATTGGTTGTGTGAATCAGATGTGATTCAGAGAAAATAATGGGAGATTATTAACATTTTTCATGACTAAATTATGAAAATTGTATTTTTGTTTAGTTGTAAATTTATTTTATTTACAATGGCCCTCCCCATGTGCATGTAAGCCCTTTGAGATGCAATAAATTCAATGATGGATTGAACTGTCTGGCTCCAAAATGACTGCTTTTATTTCAGTTTCACCACATGAAAACGCTACATTATAGGTTTTTTTCTTATAACTGTCTTTTGCTGTGGCTCTGTCCTCCAAAGAGGTCTAAAAGAGTAGAGTTGAAAAACATGTGTATGTCAAAATGTCAAAATGTATGTCAAAATTTGAAATGATCACAAAATAATCAAGAAACACACATCCTAGGCCGGTGTCTCTTCCCAGTTATTCCAATCTAGATGTGGGGTTGTACAGTCTGGGTGCAGAACGAAGCATGTGTATTCTGTACTGACTATTATGATTTCATTCTGAGCATGAATGCTTCAGTGTTAGTATTTTGTTTGCTGGCATTTTTGTCTTATGTCTTAGCCAGAAGTGACCATATTTGAATGAAATGGAGTGATATCAGCAAGTCATTTTTTGTGCTGTTTTTTGTTTTTGTTTTTTGCTCAATTGTTTTGTCTTTTTTTTAATTTAACTTTATTTCTCTAAGCCATATGTTGATAAAAAAATTTTTTTTCCTTTACTCATTCAGAAACTAAACTCCACAGTGTCCAAATTTAATTGAATACTTTTCTGCAAGTTTTTTAAACAAGAAAACAGATCCAATGTGAAATGTGTCATTTTCAGTTTAAAAAATTTCAGCTTTTTCAATCATTTACGCAATAAAAACCTATTAATCTGTAAGGTTCTCCACATTAGTCTGTGGATAAACTAAGTTTACCTTTGACTGGAGAGGCCAGTGCAACCCCATACATCTGAGAGAATTTTCTTCATCCCTGTTCTTCCATGAAAAAAATAACTTTTTTGCATGTGCTGCCAGTTTTTAAATCCCACTAGAGTGATTCACATCTGGGCTTATAATCTTGATCCCATAACACTCTGTTTCTTCTTTTTTATTGTCTCAGTAGATTTGCTAAAGTGCTTAAGGTTGTAATCCTGTTTAAAGGTTCATATGATGCAGAATTCAGAGCTTAATCAATGATATCAAGCTGCACGGTCGCATCAAACTATCACATTTCCAAAGCTATACTTCACAGTTGATATGAAGCTACTCTGGAGAAGTTTTTCGTAATTTAATTTAAATTTTATCGATTAAACATCCAATAAACTGTGTGCAACTGATCGGTTTTCTTAATTTAAAAGATGAAAGCACTTTTAAAGTTTGCTTTTACATTATACTTGGTTGAATATGTCATCACTAGCTGCGGGTTTCAAAGCCGACGGTGTTGTTTAATGGTTTAGATATTTTATAGATCACTGTGGTTGAATGTACGTAATTGAAAACACACATATACACACAGGTAGTAAACTTGATTTAATGTTTGGTAGTTTTCAATCTGCATCTTTAATGTCAGATATTTGGTCTTCAAAAGGATACTCATGAACTTTTTGAATATAAGCAACATGAAAATCTAAAAAAAAAAAAACCCCCCCCCCCCAAGAAATCCACATTTAAAACCTTCCATTACACGACATATTATAGCAAATCTAATATCCTTTAGATTTGGAAAAATATATGCAGCTCAAGTAAATTGTTGGATTGTTCGGATCCATCTTAATGCAACCCAAATCTGTAGCCTCACATTAAATATATAGTTACAGTATGTGGCTAACAAAACATCTTTTAAAAGCCTTCTACTTTTTCATAAATTAGCACCACATCTTCTGGATAAGCACCAACACAGTTATGTTCACAATAATGAAACCACATTTCACTGTGTTGCAAGAACAGAGAAAAAGATTGCAAGACTCACAGAGAAAAAAAAACTATTTTCTATAAGGACCCTTTCTCTATTTAGACAGACGATTTGTCTTCAAAAGGTAGTTTGAAAAAACAAAACAAAAAAACAAGATAGCTACACACAGTGGAACATGTTCAATTAAAAATGTTTATAAAAAAGTTATTTCCATATCTCCATATAGTTCAATTGCGAAACAAGAGTTACAATAATTTTTCCTGGGCCTTTTGTCAAACTTGATGCGCACTAGTGGAGAAGACTTGTAGTGCAGTCTTTTCATACAGGGAATAAATGTACCAGGGATAATATAATATACACACTTTTCAACCTTCCAAAGAGGTCATATCTTAAAAAAAAAAGAAGGTCAAATTAGAAACAGCAGATCAGAATGATCTGAAAAATACATATAATATATATGATTTTTCTCAGTTGTTTTTTTTCTTTTTAGCAAATAAATTAGAAAAGCTGAAGAGCCACAGTTCTGATGCGCTGACGAGTTTCTCTTGTCAACACAGAGTCTGAATGGCTGTGTGTGTGTGTGTGTGTGTGTGTGTGTGTGTGTGTGTGTGTGTGTGTGTGTGTGTGTGTGTGTGTGTGTGTGTGTGGACCAGTGTAGCAGGAGCCACTGGGAGGCACAGGAGGTCACAGGAAGGCAGTTGTTGGGCCCCTGATTGATGATTAAAAACGAGGAGTGTGTAGGTTGGGGGGATCCTGTGTTTTTTAGGCTACCTGGCACGCGCTTGAGTCTCCATGGACCCAGTTGCAGATCTGAGCATATTTCAGGGGTGTTATCCTCACTGCCACGTTGTAATCCTGCTGCGTCCCGTCCCCATTAACATCCACCCACTGGTGACCGGAGAAAACTCCAATGATCTTTCTCTTCCACTTCTTCTTGCCTGGTTCTTTGAGGCGGATGTAGACCCCAGAGCCACTGGAGCCAGGTTTGGCATCACAGTATTGGTACAACAAATCATTGGATTCCTCAGACACGGAGCAGAACCGGTACACCAAGTTACCAGGTCGGTCATCATCGAAGCCGGAGAAGTGGATCCTCCCAGCAGGAAGCTTCTTGACTGAGGAGATCACACCCAGATCCATGGGCTTGACTTTTGAGGATTTCTTCAGCTCCAGAACAGCATAGTCGTAATCCGCAGCCAGTCCACCCGACACGCCTTTGAACCAACCCTTAGGAACCTGGGTCTTTTTGACTCTTGTCCACCTAAATGATGGTTTCTCAGATTCCACGCTTCGCCTATTTCGGTTCTTCCTACTTTTCCCTTTTCCCCTCCCTTTACCGCCATTCTCCTCCTTTTCCTGTCCGTCTTCTTGAGCTGTGTCTCCCTTTCTTCTTCTACCTTTTCGTCGTCCTCCTCTCTCTCTGCCTCCTTTCCCTCGCCTGGATTTCTCCTTCAGAATCCCGACACGTAGTTTCTGCACTCCATCTAGATAATCCTTTCCATCATGGATGCAGTGGGCAGCAGTCAGCACATGTTTAGGGGATACCAGAACCCCAGAACAGCCTGTGGACACCTTCACAGAGGTGGAAAACGGATATTTGGTAGAGAACTGCTTATCAGCGATGGTGAAGCGGGTATCTGTGCCATACACCTCTCGTTTGTGGCGCGAGCTAGACGAGGCATTTCTGGACCATGCAGTCATCTCGTTGAGACCCTGCACAGAAATGGAAGTAAACGTGCGTGTGCCATTTTCGTAGACTGTCTCGTAAGACAAGAACTGCTCCAAGTCTTCCAGGGAAGGTGAAGGAAGGCGACGCTGGCACTCGATCCCACAAGTCCCACTTAGCTCTGGCTGTGGATGAGCTGAGAAGCTTGGGCTGCTGAGAGGCACAGTACGTCTTTTCCTCACCAGAGGAACTTTCCACTGCGGCCAGGTGTACTCATCATCTAGAGCAGCTACAGCCACCACAGCCAGCACTGTCACTGAGACCAGGACACAGAAGGGTATGTGGCCCATTGTTAAGTTGGGCCTGGCTCTGAAAAATAAGAACATATGAGGGAATTATTATTATTATTATTATTATTATTATTATACTTTCTTTAGCCACACATGATACTAATTGTAGCATTGATGGTTGCTCACTCCACTCTTAAAACTCTATGCTAAAATAGCTCAACATCAGTACATAATTTGCCATATATTTATGGCATAAATATATTTATGGCATAGAGGATATATCCTACTGACTTTGATGACATCCTGCCTTTTCCTTTGTCACCTGCTAGCATTACCACAAGCGTGAACTGTTGGATGGATTCCCATAAATCTTGCCCATTTAATCCTTCGCTAACATCAAAACACCAAAAGAACAATTGCCATAAAACTCTCTGCACATATTCGTGGTCCCAACAGGATGTACACTGCTGACTATGGTGACTCTCTTAGTTTTTCTCTAGCAGACACTCACACCATCGTGAGGGTGACACTTAGCCTCCTAGGACCTGGCGTCCACATATGTGGACATTACATTTTGGGTCATTTAGACCAAAATACTAAATCTTGCTCAACAAGGGCCTGGTATCCACTTACGAGGACATTATATTGCAACTGTTCTATCGAAATTTCAAATGAATATCCTCATATGTGGCTCTCATTTTTCTCAGAAACAAAAATTAGACCAAAAAAATCTGGTAATTCTTTGTTTTTATATTCATCAAGTCCCAATCAGCCCAAATATCAAAGGGAAATTAAAAAATGCATGCCATGTAAGAGTTCGGGTCTTAGGCGGTTAAGGTAGGTGTAATCTTTAGTCATCTGTGTTCCGCAGAGGGTGAACCATAAAGATTCTTGCAATGACAAGCTTTTCATGTAGGACCACAAATTTGTCAACATTTCCCCCCTTTCCTGAAATATATAAACATTCACGACATGGACACGCTAAAAAAAAAGAGACCATTAGTCATCCTGATATGACAAATCATAACAGGTTGTTCCTCTGAGAACTATTGGACAGAATGAATTTTGGTTGGTTCAGACTAAAACACCTCAATATCAGGAGATCATTTGCCATGCAATTTTTTTTACATGCCATTGTAGTGCATGGAGGACATATTCCACTGACTAGCGATTCCCTGCTAGTCGTCCTAAGCTTCAACTTAAGAAGGCTGAAACCTATTGGATGGTTTCCCATAAATATTAGTGCAGAGATCCATGGTTCCCAGATGCTTAACCATAATGACACTGGCAATGCCTTGGCTTTTCATGTAGGACTACAAACTGTCAAAATTTCCCATTTATTAATTGTAATATCTAAACATCCACAACATGAATTAGCATAACAATTTAAAGTTGGTGGTTCCCCAAATTATGAACCACAATAACTTTGGTCACCCCAAGGTTCATGTTTGTGGTTTTGAAGTGAAATGTCTCATCACTTTTTGTACTGTTTGCCAGGGATTTTTTTCCCCAGACACTAATAATTAAGTATGTTCAGAATATAGGAACACTCTGATTTCCCTGGAATGAAAAGGTCCAATGTTAAGACCCCTGGATCACAATATGCACAGTCCCAATACAGCCACAGGGAGGCAATATAGCCCAAAACATTAGAGATGTCCGACAGACTTGCAGTTCTGCAGCACTACAGTTGGCTGTACAGCAGTGTGACAGCACATCACACTTATGTATTTAAATGCTTGCCAAAAATGGTTGCAAATTGGTGCAGTTTTATTTTTATTAGAAGCAATGGCACTCAGTTTAAAGTAGTCTTGTGCTCCTCAGACATGTCTCTGGAGCTGTTACATTAGCTGTGTGGTTGAAAGATTTATATCCTCTGAATCTTGCTGGAGGCTGCGGGGAGAGAAAAGGATAAGATGAACCCTGATCCTCCGAATGGGCTGAGACATTGGCTTGGAGGTTCGCCACAATGGTTAACCTTCTCTTTCTGTAATGACAGTATCTGGTTTCCTTAGCTGCACTCGACTCTTTGCATGCACACGAATGACATCAAACACTGAGACTGTGCAGTCTGCACACAGCCTGCTGGCTCGTGCTTCTACTGTACGACTGTGACGTTGCCAACAGCCCTGATAAACCTAAAAAGAAAATTACAATTTGTGTGCATTTTAATAGATTCATCACACCGTCACTTCACTGCAGAGCAGTTTCATCAGCGTGGCTGTGGTGATGAAGTCACACGTATGCAAGGAGAGAGAATGATTTGGCACAAAAGTGCAAATCCAAAAGTTAATTTTAAACAGAAGTCAGGGGTGAAAATATACAGGGTTGAAACTGAGTATGACAGACCAGCTGGAACACAAACCTTTAAGATGGGGCAAGGGACGTGGGGGGTTCCAAAGACACACTGCCTTTCAATTAGATGCTGATGTGTTGTGAAAAAGGCATGCTGCCTGGTTTGGTACAGTTCCCAGGAGACTCAGCTGAGACAGAGAACCTCACTGGTCAAGGAGTCAACCCTCCAGCTGATAAACTTGTCATTAAGCACACTGTCCTTCAAGTAAGTATAACTGTAGTTGGGACTTTTTGGCTTCAGCTTACCATAAATCTTCTAATAAAACGTACCCATTGGCCATCATTTAGCCACCCTACAACAGACAGCAATAAACTACAAGCCCACAAGAGCTGTAAAACTCTCTCAATAAATGAGAAGACAAAAATGACGTTTCGTTTTGTGTTTAACTTCACACTCTTGCTGCCAGACTCAGACACAAACACACAATCTAGGAGAAAGCCTGCAATTATTCGACAGAGAGTGGAAACTGATATGCTGCCATGGTGGCTCTCGGTCTTAGCAGAAGGCCCTCATTTCAGGCTGTGCCCTCTTCCTCCCTCCATGGAAGAAGTCACAGGAAAGTATCGGGGGCGCCCGGGAGATAAACGTCACCAAGGGGTGGCGCTGTGGCACAATGGTGTATAATGAAATCAGTAAGCGTTAGCATTCACTGAAGCCTTTTTTTTCTTAATATTAGATCCACTTCTGTCAGTCAGGTGGTAAAGAGATAAAAGATTCAGAAATCTGACATTAAAGCCCGATTGAAACCCTGTTTAAAAAATCAAAGTAAAAATGTGAGGCGTGTGTTTTCATTGGCAACACTAAAATGTAAATAAATCTACAATTAAATCCCATATTTAGCACATATTCAGTAATTCCACATCTGCATCACCTGTACGTGGAGAGTAAATTGACAACGTGTCTATTTAAGAATGCACTGAAAGTATTTCAGTGTGCCCTAAGGGAATAACATCGCACAACAATAGTAATTATACTCAAAATTACTGAAGCCCGTGTGTGTGTTTGTGTTTGCACTCTAATCCAATTAAATCAACTTTTAAAACACCAACAGGTCGGAGTAAAGCGAAAAGAAAATCTATTAAAAATGTAAATAAGTTTTAAAGAAAGAAAGAAAGAAAGAAAGAAAGAAAGAAACTGAATAAAGTCAGTCATTCCCCGCGTTCCCCATCGGGACACAATAATAATGGGTAAGTGTGCACAATAGCGCTTCCTACCTGCTCGCATTCGATTGATGGATCTGCCAAATCCGCAACGTTATTGTTTGTTTTCCCAGGACCTACACAAATGAACTGGAAAACAAACGGGACTTCACTGCATCCCAGACCTTCTGCTATCAGCAGGGCTGCCTTCTCCTCATTGCTCCTTCAAAGAGGCTGAGAGACAAGTCGCTCCGCTCACACTGCACTTGATGCTGAGGAGGGAGGGAGGGAAGGAAGTAGGAAGGGAGGACTGAGGAGGGAGGAAGGGAGGCAAGGGGGGAAAATGTGAAAGGGACTTCTTTTTTTTTCACTTGTGACAAAAGCTGTTCACATATGGGTGGGACCAGACCTTGCGATCTAACTAAAAGGCTGAATCGGGAGTGAAGTCAGTGGTCTATTCACCAGCAAACCCGGTCTGCGTGGAGGAGGTGGAGGAGGGGAAAAATAAAAATGAAACGCACCTCAGTCTGTAGAACTGTGAAGGAATTAATTCAAGCGGTCGCTACAGAGTGTGGGGCGTTTCTGTTGTGGTGCGTGTGAGTCTCCACATCTGCAGCGCTCTTATTCTACAGTGTGAGGTGTAAACGCCACAAAAATATCATAAGCAGCTGCTATTAACATGTTTTTTTCCTTCTCCACCTTAATATATCAAACATATTCACCGATTACCGATATAGTTTTACACTTTTTGACCCTTCAAGTCGAATTCCACACCTTTTGATTTAGTGAGGCCACTGTTGTTGTGACTTAGCGCTATATAAATTAAACTGAACAGAGCTGGATAGATTTGTTACCCCTTAAAAGATCCATCTGTTACTTATATTTAAGTTAATTCTGTCCTCTAAGCATCTAATCTTTGAGATTTGAGGTTCCAACTCAGGTATGGGACTCTTATTATCTATCAGTGACTCCATTTATTTACGTTTAAGTACACAAAAAGATACACATATGTGTGCAGGAAGCCATAAAGCTTGACACTTTACTTATATATTTCGTCCATGCTTTTTCTTCCATGTAATTCATGAGGTACTTTGGTAAATGTGGATGCTGACGACCTCGCTCTGCTGGTTGACTTGGCAGGCTCGTCTGCTGCCTTCATTATGCAGCAACCCACTCAAATAACTCTGCTTGTTTAGTCTTTGCATTATACAATCTGGAAACCAAATGGGACAAAATGAGAGGAGGTCTCAACGCCACTGTGACTATATGGTTGAAGTCTCAATGAGCCAAGAAAAATATGTGTGTAATGAGAGGGAGAGAGAGAAAGAGGACGGATTGGAGGGGAGAGTGATGATACGCATGTGGCTCAGGAGGGAGTGCAGGGAGTGCAGCATGTCATTAGGGACAGAGAGTGATCTTTGAGTAAGCTCCGCTGTCACTCACTCTGATTTACAGCAGGAGCTTTCAGTCTTCTTCTACTGGTTATAGAATTACACCTGCTCCTGAAACTGGAAGCAGAGGAGACTTGGGTGGCCCACAACACCTGACAATGTTAATGATCATGATGGGTGTTTGTCTCTGTGGGTGGTGATCACACACGCGTGTACAACTACAAAGCCTGATGTTTTCCAAGCAGGATGCACAGCAATAGTTGTATTAACCATGCCCGTGGTATCTGGGTGTGGTCCTCACTTCTCTTTCAGACTCCGTAGCTACATTTTGAGAGAAGAGATTGATCCACTGGCCAGTGACTCCTACAGTTCCACAATGATTTTGCATAGTCATGCTCACGCCCAGCATATTAAGTTAAGCAGAAGGCTGCACAGACAGTGGAAAAACATAGTGCATGTGACATCACTCAAGAGGAACTTTTTTTTTAACGGTTAAGTTGGGTTACCGCTCATCATCTCTCTCAGATCACTGAAGCCACAGTATGTAAATCATTTTGGTAATTAGCTGGGAGGAGCAGTAAAATGAGACATGAAGGGGGAAAAAGGAAGAATTTGGATTTTGAGAAAAAAATAGTACAAAAAAAAACCCGAATCAGAGAATTCTTGTGCTCATGAAGGACACTGTCAGTTTCTATAAATCTTGTATGTTGATGGTTATTCTGTGTCTCTCTCTGTTTTAACCTTATCAAGGGTGTTCCCGGTGACCCTGGTTTGGCAAGTGGTGGATGAATGAATGGATGGAAAATTTTATTTGTTCACATTTGCATCCTTTAATCTGCTTTAATCAGCCTACAAATTGAAAATTTGTATTATAAAAAGAGAGTAAGACCGATGCAATGGGACTGCATGGCGGTGCAGCCGATGCCTCTGAGTGTCAGTTTTCTCAGCATCGTCTCACATACCAAAGACGTGCATGTTAAGTGATTCCAAATGGGTTTAGAGTTTGATCATGGTCTGATTTCTGGCCGGGCACCCTGCTCAGGATTTTATCCATTGTCAGCTTGGATAGGCTCCAGCCCCTAACTACCCTGTCCAGGATAAGACAAGGTATAGTTAATAGATGTGAAATACATGAAACACAGGAATTTTGAACCCCAAACTGATCATCTGCAACACAGCATACACTTAAAACGTGACAGGCTCAAAGGTTGAATGGTCAGAAAAGTGACTTTGCACTCTCACCCACCAACCTGCCCCAAAGTGCATCTCAACACAAACTGTTTCTAAAATTAGTCACAGGCAAATATTTATGTGTCAGTCCACACAGAGTCTGGTTGAATGGTCAAGGTGAAATGTGGTTGACTCTTTAGTAACTAAAAGAGGCTGGCAGCAGTTTCCACTGGGTGTTGTGGAAGTAAAGTTCAGCTATGGCAAAATGCTTTTCGGTATCAGATGTGATGTAAATGTGGGCTTACAATAGCAAAGTGTGCACACTGCACAAATATTTGCTCAACTCATATTTCAAACAACCATCCTTGCTTGCATGAGGCAGATGTTAGTACAGGTGCAAATGTTAAACTATAATGCTTCTTTTTTTTCTCCTTATGAGGCTTGTTCATGTACGTGGCCCCACTTCGTCAAACTGGACAAACTTGTAATGAACTGCTTCTCTCAGACTGATGATTCAATTCAGGTTTATTTATATAGCCGCAAATCAGGGTGCTTTATATTGTGAGGTAAACACCCTACTGTATTCTGGAGAAAAATCCCAAGAATCAAACAACCCCCTATAAGCAAGCACTTTGTGATGGTGGGAAGGCAAAACTCCCTTTTAGCAGGAAGAACGAGGCTCATCTGCTCAGGCTGGTTGGGGGTTGAGGGGAAAGACAAGAAGAGAAAAGAAAAGGAAAAAAAATGAAGAGGGAGAAAGGTCAAAACACAGACTAAAGGAGAGAAAGGACAAATATAATGACATGCTGCAATGGTGTATAAACATGTGGGAGTGAAAAGAGGTGAGTGGAGACTAAGTGCTCAGTGCCTGACAGTGCATCCACGTGAAGTCACGCAGCAGTCTGAGCCAATAGCAGTGTAACTAAGGGATGGTTTGAGGTCACCTGACCCAGCTCTAACTATAAGCTTTATCAAAAAAGAAAGTTTTAAGCCTAATCTTAAAAGTAAAGAGGCTTTCTGTCTGTAGAATCCAAACTGGGAGCTGGTTCCACAGTAGAGACGTCTGATAACAGAAGACTCTGCTACTTTTAAATACCCTAGGAGCCACAAGTAAGCCTGCAGACTGAGAGTGATGTGCTCTATTGGGCTCACACAGTACTATAAGGTCTTTAAGATAAGATGGAGCCTCATTATTTATGTAGTGTTTTCTTTTGAGATTGCCTAAGGAAAGCATATATTAAGCAAAAAGTGCTTGACCTAGCACAGAGCCCTGTGGTACTCTCTGACCAACTTTCATGTGTGAAGAAGACTCATCATTTACATGAACAAACTGGAGTCTATCAGATACTTATGATTCAAAGAATTGCACCGCATTTCCTTTGATAGTAACAGTGTGTTCTGCTCTCTGCAGTAATATGATCGGCAGCACTGAATACTGCAATGAGATTCAACAGGACAAGCACACAGATGAGTCTACCATCAGAGGCCATAGGAAGGTTATTCCTAAGCTTTACCAATGCTGTTTCTGTGCTATGATGAAACCGTATTGAAACACATCAAGTAGGCAATTCATCTACACATGATCATTCAGCTGTTTTAAAACAGCTCTTTCAAGAGTTTTTGAAATAAGTGGAAGGTTGGAAATTGGCCTATAATTAGCTAAGACAGCCGGACCAGGTTTTCATATCTGACTACAGAATATTAGAGTTTACAGCAAATTAGAGCGCTGTGCCCTTTGCACCACAAAATGAAACCTATCTGTTCATGAATTTGCTTGTGGATTATGTTAGCAGCAGAAAAGCTAGTGAAAGCCACGGTTTCTAAAGAACTCCTCCTAGGTGCCACTTAAGAACAAATCTGTTTGTAGAACTGCATCTTGCATAATTATAATTGTGTATTTGGGAGGCCGCTCAACACCATAACAAACTGTGACCGCTGTTATTGTAATCTGAACACAGGAAGACAAAGACACACAGAAAATGTTCCTGTTTTCAGTAAAAGTCAAGGTCAAAGGTCAAAGAAGATCAAGGAAAAACACTCACACACAGAGAGAGAGAGTTAGAGCTTTATGTACCCTGTTCTGTATCTTCCAAACAGAAAAGCAGGGAGTGATATTCCTGGTCAGGGCTGCACTGTGGGGACAGAGGTTCTTTTGTGTTGTGTGTCACACCCTGACAGGAAGTACTCTCTTTGCACTTGGACTACTAGATGGGTTCTTAGTGGTGTGCCTGAGCGCTCAGGATCAGACATTACAAACCTCTGCAGCAGTAAACCAGTATATGGGTGCGGTTCTTAAAGGTGTACACAAAGTTTTGTGGAGACATTCCTTCTTATTGACTTTGATCCCTGAGCAAATATTTACCTTTATTCATACACAGTAATTTAAGAGACTGCCAGTGATTTCCTGCTCTTAGTGACTTATTGTCTTGAAGAGATAAAACAAAAGCAGCACAAAGATTTGTTTCCTGTCCAAACAAAGCAGTCTGAAAGCTTGAAATGCTGGAAACTGCAGTTCCTCCAGTGGCCACTTGAGGCTGGATCCAAAATTGGGTAAATCCTCATAGACTCCCATGTTAACACACCAAGTTTCAGTGTTGAAATGAAAACATTAGCAGTCTGATGTATAAAACTATTTTTGCCCTTCATAAAAATCTGCAGGATGACCTATCACCTGTTTGCATTGTCTTAAAGCTTAAGGTTTGGCTGTCTTGATTGACAGGTTAATGCAAGTTAGATAACCCTGTCTGGCCTCCAGTTTTTTTCATTGAATAATACTTTTTGCCATAGTTTTAACCAACAGCAAGATAATGGTAACTAAAAAGTATGATGAGAGACGCTTTTGTCAGTGAA